GAACAATCCTGAAAGATTAAAGTGTTGTACCATTGTTTTTAATGTTTTGCCAACACCTTCTTTTCTTCTTGTTCCCTGTTTCTACTGGACCAATTTTAGATACATCTCCCATGTGATAAGGGCAATTATTACATTTTGGTCATTCTACTGGCACTGAAACAGTCTCAAATTCCTTTACAGTCCCCTTTGACAACTGCCTCTTTTGGTGGGGTTGATCGAACTTCTGCCCTGTGGATTCCTAACACTACCAAATACCCAAGCTTTAGGAGGAATTTGATCAACATTCCTAGAAAAGTTACCTTTTTGATATGAAATTTTTTTGAGATTCCCAAGAGCAAGATGCCAGCAATCCCAAGTGTGCCCCAAAGCTGGCTCATCTGTCATTCCTTCTCACTGCATCCAATAAGAGGCATTCCTGCCCAAAAGAAACAGCAGCCCTTTGCAGACACCAGCAAGGAGTTAGATAGAATGGACTCTAGAGAAGCACGTCACTTAATCCCTTCCCAAAAGGCAGGTCAGCCATCTCTTTTCCTGGGACAGTAGGAACACTTTGAGTTTCTGCCTAACTCTTCCAGGGGGAAGAACAAAGAATAACACTTTAAATCCGGCTCGACAAAGGCGGCTCTCCAGTGCTCTATCGCTCAGGTACCTGAGCCAACCTGCCTGACAAGTGCTCTGCTGCATTGCCCTGGCTCACCTCACCCAGGTTATGTTCCCTCTTACACCTCCACAAATTCTCTCTGCCTCTATTTCTACCTGAGATGAGATACCTAGATCAAGGGGAGAAGTCATGTGACAAGGACAAAAAGTGCAAGGCCATACCATCTGCCTACATATCACCGCGATCATAAATCTTACCAAAAAGGAAACTTGTTCTCCGGTTTCCTACGTACTGTCCTTGAGAGAATAAGTGATGCCAAGTCACAAAATCCTGCAGTACTTTGCTTCCCATTCCCCCACTGCTATTATGTTTACAACTTTACTTAGAAATAGCTGACTCCGCAGCTTTTGCCATTCAGTAACCCTTCACCACGAAGGCTTAATAAGAAATCCTTAAAATGAGCTGAGTAGACATCAAATACTTGAAAATCCAAATTACCTAGACTGGTAGAGGCTAATGTTCTGCATTAAATAGGAAGAGAAAGTATCAATTTTGTGCTCTGATAATGCCTGCCAAAGGACTGAGTCAAATAAACACATAAAATATGACAGATGAGGGCAAGAGGGGTAGGGATACCACCACAGTTACTGGGAGAAGTCTAGGAAGTGGGCAAATGTAGTATGCCCTGACCTCCTTTCACCTCCATGTGCTTCTACCTGGACCTTCAACTCTCCTTTTCCTGTGTGGCACTGAATGAGAAATAACCTTTTATTATTTCACTCTATTTATAATTTTTATAGCCATAGAACCACCAAAGGCTATGCTACTGAACGGGTGGGTATATGGCAGCATCCCAAGTATGTGGGATTATTAGAAAAATAATTATAAGAAAATAGTTAAGTGCCAATTTGAGATTTTTCATTAACCTTGTCCTTCCTACTATGTTGCTTTATCAAATTAGCCCACTATGAGAAACAAAATCCATCATATACTTGTAGAGCTTAGAACTCACCTACCCTTTCATTCTATAGGTGAGGGAACAGGTCCAGAATAGTGTTACGTGATTAAGGTGATATGGCTAATTAGTCGCAGCATCATAACTAGGATACCACTCAAAGACTCTCCTTTATATTGCACAATCCTCAAAGAAAATACCAGCCTCTACTACCCAGCACATTTACATAAACCAGAGGTTAAACTGACTCCTCTAAAAGATGATCAGTCTTATGCTTTAGCCTTCACTATAAAGTAATCCCTAAGTGAGTCCAATAAAGATGTTATAAGGGGCCCTTGGGAGGCAAAGAGCCTTTCAGTGCTATAGTCAGATTTCAAGGGAATTCAACAAGGCATACTATGTGTGGCGCCCTAATACAGTGTCACTGGTCACAGCATGAGTATTACCTATAAATTTTATACTCTTTAGTACATGCAATACATGAAAGCAAAGCTCAATCTTGGTTCACACTGACCCTGAAATAAGATAGGATAGAAAAAGCTTAAGGTTCAAAACACAACAGGAATTGTAGCTGTTTAAAAGACAGGTTTAAATATATTATCAAGAGTTCAGTTAATTCATAGAAGTAGAGAATAGAATGATGGTTACCAGGGGCGAGGGGCAGTAGGAAGATGTGGCAGGGGGAGACGTTGGTCCAAGGACACAAAGTTTCAGTCCAATAGGAGGAGCTTCTGCTGATCTGCTGCATGGCAGGGTGAATATAGTTAATATTGTATATTTCAAAGTAGCTAAAAGTGGATTTTAAGTGTTCTCACCACAAAGAAATGATAAGTATTTGAGGTGATGATATGTTAATTAGCCTGATTCAATCACTCTACAGTGATTAAATCATCACATTATATTGAAACATCACATTATAAATAAATACCCTGTAGATATATACAATCATTTGTCAATCAAAAATAAAATAAAACTTAAAAAGCGTTCAGTTATTATAACAAGTTAGAAAGACCCATGTCTCTGATAGTATTAACTCACGTCATAGTTAAAGCAAATTGCTAAAATGACAACATTCTTTTTTACTCTTAAGCAGCTTAACTTACCCATCTGTGAAATAGAAATGGTAGACTTTCATGTAGTATCTTAGGATAAGTAGCATTGTCCTGTAATGGTATTGGCAACCTGTCTGGAACAGCCCTTCTATAAAGAGCATGGTAGAACAATAGTCAATGACATTGGTAATTTCATATAAAAATAAAATACAAAATCATATGCAAGCAGAGACTCAAACAGATATTTGTACATCAATGTTCGTAATGGCATTATTCACAATAGCCAAGAGGTAGAAACAATCCAATTGTCCATTGACAGATGAATGGCTAAACAAAATGTGGTATATACAGACGAGGAATATTATTCAGCCTTAAAAAGGAAGGAAATTCTTATACATGCTACAGCATGGATGAACCTTGAAAACCTGATGTTAAGTGAAACAGGCCATACACAAAAGAACAAATATTATATGATTCTACTTATATGAAGTATCTAAAATAGTCAAATTCAAATTCATAGAGACAGAAAGTAGAATAGTGGTTACTAGGAGGTGGGGAGCAGGCATGGGGAGTTATTGTTTAATGGGCACAGAGTTTTAGGTTGGCATGATGAGCAAGTTCTGGAGATGGACAGTGGTGATGATTGCACAAAAATGTGAATATACGTATCATCACTATTTAAAAATAATTCAATTGTGAATTTTATGTATGTTTTACAATAAGAAAATGAGTGAGAAATACTAAGTGGCAATTTCTTTTATGATTTTGACCCATATCCCACTCCCCTGCTTAAATAAAATAAAAAAAAAAAATCAGTATTACAGTATTATAGCGTAAAATATGTATACATCATCAAATAAAAACAACGTTGGTTTTGATGCCCCAAAGCCATTCACCCTGTGTGTTTATTATTAAAATAGTTCATGTCCATCATTATTATGAATGATGTATTTACATTAATAACACAAGCTCCAAATATACAGAAAGAGGGAGAAATTGAAGCAATGGAATTGTGTCTACAGGCTAATATAGCAACCATGTGTTGACATTAATGTCTTTTGAATCCAAAAGACCCAAACCATGTGGTAGGGCAGGGATCTTCACCTTGGTTGTAAGTCCTACTTTCATGTCATAGGGCACTTCTGGAAGGAAGTTCTGTGACGGTCAGCTCTAACTACTTGCGGATTTCCCACTAGGCCTACACAGGAAGTCATCCTTGTGTCTCACCTGCATGAGTTCCTGTTATGAGGCCAGGAGACTGGTGAGTTGAAATCTAGTTCCAGGGAATGATGTCATCTTGATTGAACTATGATCCTGGTGACCTGCTTCCCAACCTGGTGTTGTTACAGCCCTTTCAGCTGGGGTTTGGGTTATAAGGGGACCAAAAAGGAAAAAGGGGAGTAGAATAACAGAAAAAGGAAAAATGCTTGCACATTTCCTTTCTTTCAGGAGAACATTTTCTGCTTGCATCTAATTTGATGGGAGGACCTGGTTGATGGCAGATGGAAGCTGTACGGATGCTCTTGGAGTAGGGGTAGGCTTTCACACAAATTTCAAACATAAAAAGATGAATAAAAACATTCAGAAAATTTTGATTATTTCTGGTGCCTTTTACCTTGGAAATAGTGACTTTCCTTCTTTGGATAAAGTTTAAAAAAACCAGATGTTAACACCTTTAAAACATTTATAAATTTTTGTAAACAATGCATAACTACTTAGGATGCTATCTTAGCAACATAAAGAAATAGCAAATACAAATGTCTGGACATGTGTGAACACTCATATTCTTTCTACATAATGTCAAATAGATTAGGAGTTCAAATCCGGAAATCTCATCGCTACATGCAATAAACTAGGATTGACACTCAATTTCATTTAGATGAGATCCTTTGGTTCTTAACATACCAAGCTAAAAAGTAAAATGAAGTCAAGCATAAGCAGCAGCAGCAGAAGCTGATGACATTCCAAAAGGAAAACAACAGCCTTACTTTTAAAATCAATCAATCAATTTCAGGCTATCAAATGAAGGAGAGATCTAAAGTTTTACCATATTTATTTCATATCATGATTTCTTAGTCCTTATTAAGTTGATACAATTTGGGGAAACATATATTCCCTTCCCTTTTTTGTTGCATGTGTGTTAGCAGGAGTAGGAAGAACAGAATGTGAGAGAACAAGCAAAGAGTGCAGGAAAGGGAAAGATGGAGAGAGACACAGACTGTTTATATGAACCCCTCTCTAAATAAGCAGCATCAACCAACAAAGTACAGAGTTGACAACATGGAGTCTTTCCTTCTCACGGAAATAATCTGGTACCACATTCAGGATACATTAATTATATAGCATTATCTGTCAGACATTATGTGTATATTCTTTTTTTTCTCACTTTAAAGCCTCAAAGATGACATTATCCATGAAGTATTTTTAGTGTACTATTAAGCAAATATTAATTTGATCATATAAACCAATCCTGGTTAGCAGAAAGCACTGTTAGCTGCCATGTAAAGGTCCTTCTTTCAAGTAAAACTTCATAGAGCTTCATATCAGAGGAATTTCTTAAAGGAACTCTGTAGATTAAATTAAGATCCCACCTTCGTTAAAGGTGTATATATAATGGCCCCTGGCAGAATTAGCCAATATCTTGTCCAGACAGTAACTGTAAATGAATTGTTCTCTTGTAGCCTTCCTCTGCCCCCAGTTCCCACAAAGGTCTTCATCCAAATGCTTTGGTGCTCCACAAGTGACCAGGAGGCAGAGCGGCCTCTGCGCTGGAGATGCCTGTCCCAGGGAAGATCAGGATAAGTGAAGATGACCCTGAACTGTGTTCATCTCATCAGTTCTGCCCAATCCACAGGGGTAAAAAATGGATGAGATTTAATATCTTCAACACCAGCAACTCCAGCACCAAGCCGTTCCAGAGGGTTGAACTGCAAGAGCTAAAAAAGAAGAACTTAGTAACAGGAATCCAACTGGCAAATCAAAGGAAAACAAAATACATGAAAGGGAAGAACTTCTGAATTCAACCCCAGTGACGAATGGACTTGATTAACAGCCAACTGTCTATTTTTCTTGAAAGGGAGCTATATCTAACACCACTCTAAGCTGTGACGTGGTCAGGAATATTTGAACTGAGTTTATGGTTTTTCATCTGACATGAAACACAGCTTTGAATAACTCCCTTCGTTTGCCTCATCCTTATATAGTACAATAGCTACACTCTATCAGTTTCCTACTCCAAAAGTACACCAATACATTAGTTAGACATTGCACTAAATTCTGAGAGCCAGTACTTTCTTTGTAATTAGGAAGTTAGGGAGGCATAATAAGTCTTTCAACTCCAAAAAAACTATATATGCATTGAGTCTAAACCTTACCTAAAGTGTGAATAGGCTAATTAGTATTCCCAAATTACTTTTTTTGGCATAGCTGACTCAAATGAAATAATTTGATCTAATAAATGAAACGTTTTGTTTCTTCAAAAATAGAATTCATGTATAAAATAAATTTATAATGTCATAGGCAACAGGATTGTTAACAGTGTGGGAAAATAGAAATTGTTATATACAATTATATGGGGACTCTGGACATGCTGGAAGAATATGCCTTGAGACAGTCATGCATCCTCAAATTTTTAATAGCTTGACTGAAGAATAAATGAAACGTTTTGTTTCTTCAAAAATAGAATTCATGTATAAAATAAATTTATAATGTCATAGGCAACAGTATTGTTAACAGTGTGGGAAAATAGAAATTGTTATATACAATTATATGGGGACTCTGGACATGCTGGAAGAATATGCCTTGAGACAGTCATGCATCCTCAAATTTTTAATAGCTTGACTGAAGAATTTATATAGCATAAGCTTCATCTAGTGTAAGTGTAGATTCAATGATTTTTAGTAAATTTAAAGAATTGTGCAATCACCACAATTCAGTTTTAAAACACTCTGATCACCCTAAAAAGTTTCCTCATGCCATCTGTAGTTAATCCCTGATTCCCATTCCCAGCCCTAGGCAACCACTGATCTGCTTTCTGTCTCTATAAAGTTGCCCTTCCTGGACATTTCACATAAATGGAATCATAAAATAGTCTTTTGCAGTTGTCTTCTTTTACTTGGCATAATGTTTTTGAGGTTCATTCACATTGTAGCAGGTATCAACAGTGCATTGCTTTTTATTTCTGAATAGTATTCCACTGTTTGGATATACCACATCTTGTTAATCTATTCACCAGTTTGATGACATTTGGACTTTGCAGTTTTTGGCTATAATGAATAATGTTGCAATTAACATTGATGTATATGCTTTTGTGTGGACATATGTTTTCATTTCTCTGGATTACATTCCTAGAAGTAGAATTGCTGGGTCACACATAATACATTCCCTAACAACTAATGATGTTGAGCATCTTTTCATATCCTTATTAACCAGTCATGTAGCTCTTGGTGAAATATCTAATCTGTTGCCCATTTAAAAAAATTTTTTTCTTTTGCTGTGGATAAACCAGAAAACCTTGGCCCATTTTAAAACTGGTTGCCTGTTGTCTTCTACAATTTTTATAGTTTTAGCTCTTATATATAGATCTATGAGCTATTTTGAGTTCTTTTTTTGCATATTGTATAAAGGGTCTGAGTCCATTTTGTTTTTAGTATGTAACTATTTGCTTTCCCAGCACCATTTGTTAAAAACACACTGTTGTCTTAATCATCATGGCTTTACAGTTAGTGTGGAAATCAAGCAGTGTAAGTCCTCCAACTTTATTCTTCTCTTTCAAAATTGTTTTGGATATTTTAGGTCCTTCGCCTTTTCAGGTACAATTCTGAGTCAGCTAAAGGTTTCCCGATTTTGCTGAATGTCTCAAAAAACCAACTTATGATTTCTTTGATTTTTCTCTTATTTTTTCTAACTTCCTTCCTTCCCTTTCTTCCTTCCCTTCCAAGACAGGGTTCTCATTATGTTGCCCGGCCTGGCCTTAAAATCTTGGGCTCAAGAGATCCTCCCACCTCAGCCTCCCTAGTAGCTGGGACTATAGGAATATGCCACCATGCCCAGCTTCCTTTCACAGTTTCTTAAGGTGCAAGCTTAAATTTTCATTTGAGACCTTCCTTTTTTTTCTGACATGGTGTTTAACTTCATAAATTTTCCTCAAGAACTGATGTAGCTATATCCTACAAATTTTGATGTATCGTGTTTTCCTTTTCATTCAGTTCAAAAACATTTTCTAGGTTTTCTTGGGATTTCTTCTTTGACCTATGTTACTTAGAAGTGTATTGCTTAATTTCCAAATATGTGTGGAGTTAGTAGATCCCTTTCTGTTGTTGATCTCTAATTTAATTGTTATGGTCAGAGTACATTGTATCATTTCAATCCTGTGTGTGTAGCAGCACAATCATAGCTCACTGCAGCCACCAACTCCTGGGATCCAATGATCCTCCTGGCTCAGCCTCCCAAGCAGCTAGGACTACAGGTGCATGCAATCACGCCTGGTTAATCTTTACATTTTTGTAGAGATGAGGTCTTGCTAAGTTGCCCAGGCTGGCTTCGAGCAGTCCTTCCACCTTGGCCTCCCAAAGTGCTGGGATTACAGGCTTGAGCCACCGTGCCCGGCCCTCACACCTTTTAAATATTGAAACTTGTTTTATGGCCTGGAATATGATCTATCTGGGAGATTGTTTCATGTGCACTTGATAAGAATGTGTATTCTGTAGTCACTGGGTGAAGTGTTCTATCTATGTTGGTTAGAGCTGTTTAATAACGTTGTCTGAGTCTTCTATATCCTTGCTAATGTTCTGTCAATTATCAAAAACAGGGTATTGAAGCCTCCACTTATTATTATTGAAATGCCTATTTTTCCTTTCAATTCAGTCAGACCTTATTTCATATTATTATCAGTGCACAGACATCTGTAATTGTTCTAGCTTCTTATGTATTGACTATCATTACGAAACACTTATCAGTCTCTAGTAAGTTTGTCTTAATGTCCACTTTATCTGGTATTTAATATAGCCACTCCAGCTCTCTTAATGGTCACTGTTTGCGTGGTTTCTCTTTTCAATCCTTTTTCTTTCAACCTCTTCGTGTTTTTGAATTTAAGGTATGTCTCTTGTACACAGAATATGGTAGAATCTTTTAAATCCCGTTTAACAATATCTGCCTTTTCTTTGGCGTGTTTAGACATTCACTTTGAACATAATTACTGACGTGGTAGGTTTGTGTTGGCCATGTGGCTACTTGTTTTCTAATCTACCATCTTTTTTGTTCCTCCTTTACTGCCTTCTTCTGTGTTAAATGCTTTTTATTGTACTATCTTAGCTCCTCTATTTAACTTTCTTTTACTATTTTGTTTTTAGGGTTTTTTTTTTAACTGTTTGCTGTATCCTTAAAATATGCATCTTATTACTTCAGAATGTATCATTTATCTGACCACTTATCATATCAGAATAATACTACCTTAATTGCAGCAAAAGGTAGAAATTTTGCTCCACTATAGTCCCTTCCTTCCCCCTTCCTTTGTCTATTATTGTCATAGACATTCACATATTGTATCTATGTATGTTACAAATCTGACTGCACGGTCTTATAATTATTGCTACATACAATTTAATGTCTTTTTTAAAAAAGTTGAGAAGAGAAATGAGAAAAGACATATTTAGTCTTTTCTATTAACTCATATCTACCATTTCCAGGGCTCTTCATTTATTTCCTCCTCAGACTCATCTGGCATCATTTCCTTTCAGCCTGAAGGAATTCCTGTAGTGTTTCTTGTAAGGTAGGTCTTCTAGCAATGACTTCTCTCAGTCTTTCTTTATCTGGGAAAATCTTTATTTCACCTTGATTTTTGAAGGCTAATTTTGCTGAATTCTTGGTGAACTGTTATTTCCTTTCAGCACTTTGAATATGTCATTCCACTGTCTTCTGTCCTCCACTGTCTTTGTGAAGGACATTAACGCTTCTTTCTATAAGAAGAGTTGTTTTTCTTTTACTGCTTTCAAAATGTTCCTTTTTGTTTTTATCTTTCAATAATTCGACTAAGTGTGGATCTCTTTGTATTTTCCTACTTTGGGTCTGTTGAGCTTTTTAGATGCATAAATTAATGTTTTTCATCAAATTTGGGGAGTTTTCAGCCATAATTTATTCAAATATTTTTGCTGCCCCTTTTCCTTTTTCCTCTCCTTCTGGAACTATATATACACAAACACACACACATGATATTGTCTCACAGATCTCTGTGGCCCTATTGATTTTTCTTCAATTTTTTGGTCTGTTTTTCAGATTAGATAATTTCTATTATCTTCAAGTTCATTGATTCTTTCTTTTTCTATTAAATATCTCAAATTTGCTGTTCAGCTGCTTCAGTGATTTTTTTTCTCTATTCAACTATTACATTTTTAAACTTGAGACTTCTACTTGGTTCTTTTTTAAAAAATATAATTTCTATCTCATTGAGAATCTATATTTGTTGATTCATTGTTGGCATACTTTCCATTAATTCTTTAAACATAGTTTTAGTTCTTTGAAAGTATTTATAATAGCTGCTTTGAAGTCTTTGTTAAATCCAAAATCTGGGTACACTCAGAGACCATTGCTATTGATTGCTTTTTTCCCCTGCAAATGGGTCATAATTTTTTGTTTTTGTGTATGTCTTGCATTATATTTCACTGAAAAAAGGATATTTTAGTTAATGTATTAATATTTTAGCAACTCTGGGGGCTGATTTTTTCCCATGAAGATTATCATTGCTGTTGGTTTGTTTATTCTTTGCTTGGTAACTTCTTTCAGCTAGAGCTGTAAATCTGCTAAGCCCCCTCCCCTCTGTATTATAATGTGCAGCAACAGATATCTCGGCTTGCTTTTTTGTTTTTTTAAGGTTGTCTTTCTCAGCATCACCCCTGCATCTGCACAGTTTAGTGGTCAAGCAATGATTGAACAGAGGTTGTGTTCAAATACCTTAGCCAGTCAAGCTTCTGTCCTCTGCCAATGGGTAAAACACAAAGTTTAGGCCACTTTCTGCTGGGCCCTTTCCCTGTTCCTATGTGCATTTATGCAGCCTCAGGATTGTTCTTCACGGCCTGCCCCACCCTGGCAGAACCTTTGCACCTGACCAAGCAGGAAGCGGGGAAATGGGAGCAAACCTGGTCAAGAATGCCACAGAGTCCCACGGTTCTTTCCCAAAGTTCAGCTGTTGTGTAAGCGTAAATACTTTCAGATTGTTGTTTCCTTTGATCAATTTCCAGAGCACTGAAATAATTGTTTTTACCAATGCTGTCCAACTTTATACTTTTTCAGGTGAGAGAATTTGCCAACTTTCTCACGTAGCCACAGCCATTCAAATTTGAGAACAGTCTTACGGCAATTATTTTCTCCACAGAACATAACCAAAACCGATTTAAAAGATTTCTTTCCAATATCAAAGGTCCTGTATATAGGAAATTCCTATTCAAATTTAACCAAAACTTCTATTTCTTCTCTTCCTTTTTCTCTATTCTTTTCCATTCATGATTCATTAATTTAATTATTTATATAAATATCAGCTGATTGCCTGTGATGTGTTAGTCCACTACTTTTTTAGACCTTTTCACTTGTACCATCAGCAGTTGCCTCACTCTTACACTAGCATACCCATAATTCAATACTTGCTTCACTGAATTATAAATTACTATGTCACGAACTTTCAACACTGTCCTATCAATAATAATAAAAAAGATTTACATGACACTTACTTTGTACCAGGTATTATTCTAAGTTTTTAACATAATAAGTTAATTCATTTAATTCACAATAACTACAAATAGCTACTATTACTATCTCCATTTTATAGATACAAAACAGAGGCTCAGGGAAATTAAGTAACTTAAGACCTTACAGACAGTTAAGTAGCAAAGACGGGATTTGAATTCAGGCACTCTGACTCCGGAATCCATGCCTTCACCACAGCACTACAATGCTTCATCAGTGTGTATCTACAAATTGCCAGGAGTCTATTACTTCACTTGGACATTACAAAATCCATAAGGGGAGTGAAGCATATACCTCACAAGACCAGACTGACAGTCTTCTCACTTGACATTATTATGCCTAGCACTCGAAATGACCGAAATACTATTCTTTAAAGCTAAGTACTCAAAGAATTTTTATATTAGAAGTTGCTCTAATGTTTTAGGAAAAAAGCTGTTATTATAAGACAAATATCATAGGAATATTCTAAATGTGTCAAACCCATTTTCGCAATCAGAGAATTTGTGTCTATTGATCGAAATGCAGAAGGCATCAGCCTTTATCAAATTCCATCTCAATATAAACTGAACATATCAAATATTGGTAAGAATTAACTGTAACTATAGCATTATATTTTTAACATATCAGAAAACATAAACATGGAAGTTATTTTCTCTTTTTACAATTGGCTTTCCCACACCCATTCTTTCTAAAACATGACTTCAAATGGGTAATTCCAAAGGTTCATATTTTGACTTTTGCTTAAAGACAATTTAGTCCATGGTCTCCTCCACATATTTGCAAGTACAAGTCTGCAGGCAAAAGTATAATTGTTTTACACATGACTATCCCGCTTATTCTGCCATTTTCAATGTTATAACAGGCCTCAAGAGAGACTGCACAAAGATACTATATTGCTTAAGAGAATGTGTCAGCCAGTGGCACATCCAAGATAATGAACCCAAGACAGCCGCTGCCAACCTCCCTTCTCCTGAAGAATAGGCAACACAGCTGAGCACTGAGGGCACAGAAATTTGTTTCGAAGGTCTTTTCCTCACACAGTATCTTTCAACTGACAAAGCAATTGTGTCATAATTATTAATAACTAAATGTACACTCTAAAGCATAAACATGCATGCTCTGAGGATTTTTTTTTAAATTGCACTTAAGAAGTAGCTATGTTTACTTTAACACCATTCACTTGACTCAAACAGATGACTAAACCATGGGTACAGGGGATTATGAAATCTGAAAACAAAGCAAGGAGCTGAAAGACCAAAGAGGAGAATACTTCGCCCGAGCAGAATAATTATTTTCATATAAATCATTTTGTGATTTTTTTTCAAGTGACCTCTATGACCTGTGAGGTAGTGGAAGAGGAAAGTCAAAATGACAAATTGCTAATCATGCCAAGAGACCCCTTTTCCCTTTCCTGATGATGTTTCCTCAACATGAGTAGTAGTTTCCTTAGGCAGGCCAATGACAGAATGCTGATTTACTATATAAGCTATACATATCTGCACTTGGGGATTTAACATAACTTAAGCCCAGAATCCTTTACAACATGATTTCTAATAAATAAAGGAGCAGAACTTGATAAATTATTGTGGGGAATTCTATTTTCAACGTTACATAATAATGACTACTTCTTTAAGGAAGAGAAGTAAAAAATAGCAGTTGCTAGTCTTCCCTAAATTATTTGCCAAAAAATATTTGAATTTACCTTATGTGCCACAACAAATAAGATGAAATCAAATGAATTGCTGTTCCTTTTTTCCCATTAGAATGAAATGCTTTATGTGTCTCTTCATTGCCTCTTAATCCGTAATCCACAGTGCTCTGAGCATTCTCATCTCAGCATTTCCAACCTGATTATCTTTCTTCTTATTTTACATACTCTGGGAAAATTAATCTTCCTGAAGTGCAACTCTAATCCTTTCCCTCTTCTGCACAAAAACACCAAATCTCAAATTTTTAATTAACTAAATACTATTACTCTGCTCTGGTGCTTCTGATGATGGAACCCCATAAGAGAACCCCAACTTATCTTTCTACACTCACCTACTGCTATGACTCATCCCTATCTTCATCCTTCCATTCAGATAAATCAGACTTTTGATTCCTGAACTAGATTTTTCAGACTCCTTCCTTGCTTTGGTTCAAGCTCTTCATTTTACCTGGGCTATCACCTCACATCCAACCTTGCCATGGTGAAATTCTAGGGCCCAGCAAAAATAACATTCATTCCACAAAAACTTTCCTAATACTACCACTACATTGACTATATACCCTCCTTCTCTTGACATGCCAAAGTATTGTTTTTAAAACCTCTTTGACAGCCATTATCAAATTCCATCTTGTGGTATGGTTATTTGTGAATCTTACTTTTGTAGCTTATACCACTGTGTCTTACATGTAATATTTGTTGAATGGAACGAAAAATCCCTCTTTAAGAGAATACTAGGTAATTCTCCTAATATAGTCTCCCTTCCCCTGTTTTCTTTTGTTTTCCTTGATTTAAAAAAATTCATGTTTCATTAAATAATTTTAGCTCTTGATCATCTTTTTCAAATAATCTTTTCCATTATGTTTTTCATAAAAGTGTATGGATCGCAGGCCTGACAGTTCTTGCTGATTTGCTGTGGGCCTATAATAAAACAAGACTAACAACCCTCAGTGTACTCAGCAAAAACTCAAAACAAGAGGAGTATTTTCAATATGGGGAATCAATTTAAGAAGCTCACTAGAGTTCCAAGCCTGCCCGTGGGATACTGAACTTCAATTAACAATGGTCTTTTTCTTCAAAGCCACCAAAATGTGCTATTTGACAATACCCAAGTTCTACCAATGGATGAAGTTGTAAGAGTGATCTAAGAGTGACAAGATTTTCTGACAATACTTTTCTCCTAAGCAATCTGAGCGCCCATTGCTGTTTATAAATAAGAATTAGACACTGAAAATAGCCATTCACATATGGTTACAAAACATAATAGCAAAGAGAGCAGCCCCAGACAAGTAAAAAGCGTACTCAAATATTACACCTACTCAAATAAATATACGAAACTGACTAAATGTTAGCTTTGACTCTTGGAAAAAAATTTTAATACCAACAAGTTTTATCTATCTTCTCTGACACCACCAATACTTTGATAATAGCAAAAGACTAAAGATGTACAGTATTAATTCTGAATGTGTCTTTGCTTTAGATTAAATGGGTTTTTCTTGCCTAAAACTAATTTCTTTAAGGTTTTGGAGCTGTGGGCGCTGCCAATCTCCATGGTTGATATAGTTGGTCAAAGGTCAATTAAATTACCTGTTGAATGAGTGAGCGAGCCTCTTCAGAGACACATTCTGGCATGTTCAAAGTAGTGTGAGTATTTATTCCTGCTGGATGGCACTCAACCAGAGTCTGAAACAATCAATCAGGTACACTTCTTATCCGAAATAACATCATATTTTGTCCTATCGCAGGATTTATGGACAGCAAGTACAGAGAGCTCAACAACCATCTTAACTGGAGAAACAATAATCAACACAGTGCCACCTAAGCAGTCTAGAATGGGGGCTATGAGCCTACAGAATTTCTAACTGAAATGAAGTCAGACAATAATCATGATCCCATCATAAGCTTATGCTACTGTCCCTTTTCCCTTAATTATGAAATGAATGATTCAAAATAGAAAAGCTAAATTATACACAAAAACAAAAAAGGGACTTGATATCTCTAAAATGTTTAAATGTTCTTAAAAACCCTCAAAGTTTAGAATTTCTTAATAGTATAACTTTACATATGTATAACACTTTATAAGTTTAAATGTATGCAAAGGTGATTTTTAAACTCCACAACAATCTTTGATGGGTATTAGCTGAATATTTAAAGTAGACGACTACTTACAAAAGTATAACTGTTCTTCCCAGGAGGCAATCTGCACAATACTTTATTAATATAAGGTCTATTAACCTCAAACATCATACTAAAAAGTTACTCATCTGAGAGTATAATTTTTGTCCTTAAGCCAGAACAGATAGGAAAAATTAACAGTATTGAGAAAAAGATAACAGTATCTTTAATATGTACATTAATTTTCTTAAATGAGAATTCCATACCAGTTTCAGACAAGATGTTTAAAACATCCAGAGAATTCTAAGATATCCTTACATAAAAAATCTTACATCTTACAGATTTGACTCTGTTGAGCTGAATCATAGAAAATGAAGAGGAAAAAAGGTTTCATCTTATATTCTCACTATGTAACATTGTGACATAAAAGGATTTTTACCATCAATTTATTCAGTGTTTAAAAAATCCTCTTGATAAAACTTGCATGTCTCTGCTTGATTTTGGTATTAAAGCTTTTCTTACTTAGTCCCTGACCTAAAAACTAAAGGCAAAGGCTAACGTTCTCAATTGGAAATCAAGGTAGCATCTGTGTAAATTTATTAAACGCACAGGTCACTGCTTACCTTGCCAGTGAGAAGTTCAAAGAGGACAGCACCCAAACTCCACCAATCACAGGCTTCAGTTTCTTCCGTGATCGCTCCAACCTCTAAACACACCAAAAAAGGTTGATATTAAAATTCTAAAGGTCAATTAAACTTTCAAAATTAACATGTATTAACAAGGTGACCTTTTTAATGCTGAGAGAGCACATATGAAATACTACTGGGCTTTCAAAATTCCTGAAAGTTACTTATCCCTTTGGTCACCTACTGTGGTTGCATTTTTTTTTTTTTTGACGCAGTCATATATTAAACTGAGACATTTGTTCTCTAGTTGATAGAGGGACACCTTCAAGATGCTTTACTTAAAAGTTACATGAACTTATTAGATCAGCATTTTGCTTGATTTTTTAAATTTGAAAAAGTATAGCCAGTTCTACCTCAGAGATCATTTTTTGTTTTAGAAATACTCTTTAGGTTCAGAAAGAACTTCAAAAATTATCTAAACCAACACTAACTAATTATCCTTTTATGTACAGGTTAGAAAACAGAGAGGTGAAATGTCCTGCCCAATGTCATATACTAGCAGAACAAAGACCTAATTCATAGCATCATCTTCCCTTTCCTATGTAATCAATTGTTTTCAACTAAAGAAGGAGTAAGTGAAATGCAAATCCACCCCTTCTGTTATTCATAAGTACAGACAGACACACTGTTATAAGGCACAACTGAAACGACTGGCTAAGGGCTTTTACACTATCACAATTTTATCTGCGCTATCCCCATCTCTTGCCAGCGCAAGTGCCAGAAATATAATATGACTTTTCAGGTGCCATCTTTGAGGTTCCTGCCCAAATCAACAACAACTCCTCATTCCACCATTTTTTGAGGCTTTTTAGCTCTTAAGTCATGTTTGATGTCTTCTTGTCCTTTCCTAATGGCATCCAGTTAGTGACTAAGCCTTACCGATATCTACCCTCTCATTTCTATTTGACTGAAAATAAAAAATACTTACTATTTTACTATAGGTAGCCCACACCTCATAACAATAATGTTCAAGTTTTAAGTAACTAGGTTAGAAAGTGGAAAGTAACAGGTGAAAGTGGTACTCAGGTGCCCAGCCTTTTAACCAATGCTCAGTTAATCTCCTGTGTGGGAGAACCACCAAACTCACAAAATAGCTTGAGTTTTAAGTCTTGAAGCAAAGGTCATGTGGATCAGAAAAAGAAAAAACCAAAAATCATTCCTATGCAAAACACTGAAATTACTCCATTTCAGCAGTCTTCTACATCCTTTCATCTGGGTTTCAAACAGCCTTATGGAGATCTCCACCCCTTCACAACTGGCCCTTCCCCAGCCCATTCTCTACCTGAAGTGCTTCATGCAAGATCACAACTTCCA